CCCCCCCACACATACACACGCCTGCCCGCCCTGGCCTGCTTTCTAGAGGGAAGACTACAGGATTGGACATATCGGTCCTGACCCACAACCCGGTGGTGTTAGAAACAGCTACGATTTGCACTTCAAAGAAAACTTGGATACCTTAGGATCGGACCTCTGTCTGGCTATGAATCTCTTTGGAGTTTGCGATGTATTTTCTCATTCCATTGGCCCTGCATTCACAGAAATGTTTGGCTTTGTAGAGCGCCAACTATATGCTAGATCCCATTCCTGGGCGAGGTCCCTACCCTGGTGGAGCTTGTATCCTACCACGGTACTCTTAAAATGGTGTGGGGATAGATAGGCAGAAGAGAGATTATGATGTCCACAGGACCTGAGAGAAGCTTTCCAAAGCACAAGGCAAGAGTTGAACCTGGTCCCCTGTCTTCTAGACTCCTTATCCCCAACAAAAGTCAACTCTGTTGCACCCAAGCGCTCAGAAATGTACTGGAGGAGAGTGTTCACTGCAGTTCTGAGCACATCATCCTTACCAACAGGCCGAAGAAGGCCCTGGAGGCCCGGGATCAGCCAATGGCGGGACTGAAAATTCTCCATCCAAGACAACCTGCTTGGCCAGGCCAACTGGCTTGGCCTTCCCCATGCTAGAAATTGCAATTCTGCTTTCCCTTCGTACCTCTCAGTAGCATGCCCAGAAGAAAGTACCTTAGATCTACTCCTTGAAGGCTTATACTTAATTTACTAGACTGGGAAAAGTTCTTTTAGCCCCAAGTGTGACCATGTTTTGTAGTTAGTATCCCCAAATAATGGAGGAGTGAGACCATGTAGGAAGAATGAGGAAAAAAATCATCGCTTGGTACCCATGATTATAAAGCCATGTCTGGTGTGCTATCTTATTCTACAGATTGCCCTGTACCTGCATGAGAACTGGTCCTGTCTCATAGAGCAAGAAGCAGACAGAAAAGAGAAGGGACTTGCTCAAGGTAGTGATCAGGATTTAAAACTCCATAATCCCAGGTTTAAGGTCTCAGCCTCACTCACACAACTGACCTTCAGGGACTTAAATATGGAACAGGGTACATATATAATTTCCTTTTGCCTGGGTTTTCTTATCTAGAAAGGTGGGAGTAATGTTAGTTTGGTAGATTAAAAAGTATTGAGCAAAAAATAAATTTATTAATTTACAAAAATAAATAAATAAAGTATTGAGCACTCTCTCTGTGCTAAGATTATAAAGAGTAGGTTTTCCCAAGGTGCTGTGAGCTCCTTGTTGGTAGCATTAATGTAGGTTTTATTTATTTTCTCTTGATGCAGATGACTTGGCTCACTACCACCACAAAATGGAGGGAACATATAATTATACATAAAACATCCTGCCAAATAATTAGATGCCATGACTTAACTTCTTAAACAATGAATTCTAGGAAGCTCTTATTAGCATTCAAGCAGTGAAGTAAAGCATACATGATTATAAACAATAAAGAACTATATTAGAATGTCTTTTCCTTTAGAAGAATTCTAGAATGTTTTATTACTCTGTAGAACTCAAAATAGCCAATGGGCTTGAATGTGTGATTAATCTGGTCTTGATTAATTGGACCTGACCGTCTAAATTCTAGAGCTGAGGAATACTTGGAACAAAAAGTTAAAAGCAAACCGAAAACATTTTTCCTTTTAATTTCTTGGCAAAAACTGGAGAGTGACTAAAGCAAACAAACTTTGAGAAAGATTCTTTGCTCAGATGGCAAATTCAGTATATGGCAAGTCCGAGTGTGCCTATGATGTTTAAACATAGCTATAAATAAAAATCATCTGATGATGGGGGTGGGGTAGGAGGAAGATAACCTTGAGCAAATAGCTTTGTAATAGGCACTCTTAGTCAAGGTATAAAAATTGACATGAGAAGTATCTTGTCAACCATTTTCATGGCCTTATGTAGACTTTATTTTATTATTTGTTGTTCCTTCCAGTTCCCTGACTTCTAAACGTACTGAGACAGAAAGTAGAGCTGTGTAGGTAAGAAGTGGCTCTGGAATCAGATAGACCTGGTTTGAATTCTGGTTCTGCAACTGCCTAGGTATGTGAAGTTTGTCAAGTTACCTAACTTTCCTGAGTCTTGGTTTTCTTATCTATAAAGTGGGGATAATTTTAATAGCCAAAAAATAGGGTTCTTCCAAAAATTAAATGAAATTGTAAATTAAAACACCAGACAGTATTTAATAAATGTCCAGTAGATATTAGATATTATTATTTCTAAGTGGTTTATGATTCTAAATATCTTCCAATGTCACTTGGAGCCATGGTGCAATGATGTTTGTAAGTCACTGGTATCTATCCCTGTTCCTCTCCTTTGGGGTTTTCAGAAAAATTAAACTTTATTGCCCTTTCACCTAGAATTAGAATTTTATAAATGTGGCCAAAAATTTTGTGGCCAGGAACTTTGCCATAGATATAATACAGCCCTCTCCCCCAGCTACTGCAATTTGGCTAAAGAACAAAAAAGAGAAATGACATGTCCCCTAGTAATGTCCCTGACATCCAGATACTATCCTCAGTTACAGAGGAAATATTTTTCTCCGCTACAGGAAAAAAAAAGTCTCTGGAATGGAAGGCAAAGTTCATCTCTCCAGAAGGCTGGGTAAACCTTAAGAATACTGTCAACTTTGTACATAATAAAATCTTATAGAAGTTATGTTTATTGACATAGAATATTATTCACAATATATTAAGTTAAAAAGTCCCTTATAAAACAGCTTGTGTGATATAACCCTAATTTTATTAAACATATTATAAATACATATTTATAAGACTTTAGAAAGATACACTGTGAAGTATTAACATCAGTTGCTTCTGGTGAGTGGGATTGTTTTTTATTTTCTTTTTAGTTATGTGATTCATCTGTAATGAAAACATATTGCTTTTATAGTTGTGAAAAGAAAATCTTTAGAATATCTGAGTAAGCATGACAAGGTACCTCTTAGGGGAATTACAAGCCCAAAGAACATGTAGCCCACAGTTGTGTTAAATATTCCACTATGGCCTGGAATATTACTCAAGGGCCCCCACTTTCTTGTGAAAAGAAGTCTCCCCTCTCCTGTGACCTTCTCAAATGGTCCCCTCACAAAGCATTTCAATAGGGTCTTTTCTCTTGCCTTCCCTCTCACTGAAAGCTCTTCTCCTCAGCTCAGCTGAACCCCTTACTCTCGCTCGGACCAATGCTATACTCAGCCATTCCATTCCTACCTTCACCTCTTTGCTCAGCCTGTCCCTGCTCTCCAGGTAGTTTGGCTCCTCTTTTGGCATCAGAATCAAAAAGGCTGCTGGTCCCTGAGCTATACCTTCCCCCGCCACCTTCTTTGGGAATGAGATCCTTCTCAATGCACAGGCAGCCTAGGAAGCAATGAGAAGAAACGAGTCTGAAAACGAATTGCCCTGTTCTCTCCCCACATCAGAGACTATCAGTTGCCTCCAATGGTTTGTCTTTCCTTGAAGTCAAGTAAATACCACAATGTGAAGAGCACTCTCTTCCTCCAGGAACCAGTTGTAGTGTAAGGAAAAGACAGTTGGGCTCATCCCCAGTTCTGCCACCAACAATCTGTATGACTTTGAGCACCTTATATCCCATCGGTTTCCACATCCAACAGTGTAAAGACTGGACTACAGTGGGCAGTCTCAAGTTAGGATTCATGGATGGATTCAGGGGGAATCCATCAACTCCCAAAGGATAATGTATAGGAATTTTCTTTTTGAATTGATATTTTTATTGAGATAATTTTAGATTTACATGCACTATAAGAAGTAATACTGAGAGATAACAGTTTCCCAACAGTGATTTCCTGCAGTACTGTAGTACAATATCACAACCGGGACATTGATAGTAATACAATCCACCTATCTTATTCAGATTTCGTTTTACATATACTCACCTGTGTATGTGCTGGGTGTGTGTGTGTATGTGTGTGTGTATGTGTGTGTTTACTGCTATACAATAGGAGATTTTCTTTTGCGTGTGCTTTTTTTTCCAGGGAAAGGCTCTTAGCTTTCATCAGATTCTCTCCAGTATCAGCGATGCAAAAAGGGGTTGAATTCCTACCTCTGGGAATTCTAGAAGACCACACCCTAAACCTCTATAGCTTTCTATTCTAGCAGCCACATTTAATTAGCACTTACTACATGGCAGGCATAGGGAGACATGTGGTGATGGGAAGAGGCGCAGGGAAAGCAGAGAAAATGCAAAGGTGCACACGACACAGTCCGCTGAGCTTATGCTCCAGCAGAGGAACACAGACAATCTGACAGGTAAATCATTTATTACACATCTACAGAGGAGGAAAGGCCTTGTTACTTGAGGCAGCTTGGGAAGTATTTCCGCAGAAGCTAATACTTGAGCTACATCTTAAAAGATAATCCAGAATTCTTCGGTTGAGAAGAGAACTAACCGTGAAAATCATTCCTACTTAAATCACATCTTTGCTAGATGTTTTGAAGAAAACATAGGAAACCATGCCTACATTTGTTTATTCTACAATGCGAAGGTGTCAAATTCTTCAACTCCTGTGTGTCGGTGTTGAGGCCAAGGGATTTTTTCCCTTTGAGTCTATTTTCCACTGTCTTGTCCAAATTGGATACCAGATCCTGCCTGCTTAGCTTGAGAAAGGCATTTTATCTCTGGCGCCTTGATCACATCAGAGCTTATATTTAAAGCATGAGCGATGAGAAGAGATCGCAGCTAAGTTCCTGGCTCCATCCCACCCCTAGATGCACCCGAGAGCACCCTCCTCCTCTCCACTGAAGGCTCTGGACGCCAATGCTATAGTGGTTGGTGGGAGTCAGAACTGGCCAGAGCCATGAGTAAAACATCTCTGCCCTCTAATCAATTGTCCAATCACTGGGGTCTCCTCTCTCACAAGGGCTCATTAGAAACCCTCAGAGGCTGGGTGCCCTGGCCCTCTGATGTCTGTCATCCCCATGTTCAATGGTTGGCTGCCTTATGTGGGCTCTGGTTCAGACGCCCCTTGGGGGCCTCTTTCTCTGTGGATTGTAGGTTCCACATTAGGTTACTCGGTTCCCAGTATTAGTTTCAGGAGATCATTCTCTCTGGTGGAGCCGTCCCCGCTCCAGGGAGACCAAGACCCTACTATCTGGCCCAACTTGTGAAAAGCCTCCTAGAAGCCCGATTCAAGGCACCACTTCTTATGACTTCTGTGTCCTCATGCAAGTTATTTAGCCCCCTAAACCTCAGTAGCTTCATCTGTAAGATGGGGATTATAATAGTACCATCCGCACAGGGCAATTTTAAGCTTTAAATAAGTTAAGTCATGTAAAGCTCTTATAGCACATAACAGGTACTCAATCTACATGAGCTACTATTTTTAACATTTATTTTTATAATAAAATTATTTCTGATTGTAAGAGAGTTAATGATCACTGTAGCAAATTTGTGAACTGACAATTTTAATATAGAAACAATCATAACATCCAGGGATGAGTACTGTCTAATCATTTTGATGTAGTCTTCTTAGATTTTGTGTGTGTATATGTAAACATATACTCATGGGAAATTAAAAATTGGTTCATATTGTGTATGTCTGTTGTGTAACCTATTTTATTCAACCGATGTATCATGAGTATTTTCATGATGTATACTCATGATGTATCATGAGTATAGACTTAAATACCCTTAGAAAATAGTATTTTTAAAAGACTACCTAGTTTTCAAGTATATTGATGTAACCCAAGAATTACGTATCTAATTCTTTAGTTTAGTATTTAGATTGCTTCTTATTTTTATTTTTATAAATACCATGGTAAGTGTCCTTGTTCATAAATTTGCGTGTATATCTGTTTATTCCTTAAAAGAAATGCTTAGAAGTGGAATGTCTGTGCCAAAGGCCATATACCTTTAGTTTTGCTTTGTTTTGTTTTTTTAATGTTGGGTACACAAAACTGGATTAACCATAATCCTTGGTTCATGATACTCTCACAATTTGTACTTGATGGTCTGATTTTATTAATTTAGGTGGTAAATTTATTAATTTTAATAACATAATCAGTTCATGTAAATTCACAACCCAAAACAAAAGCTAGGACCTCAACAATAACCAACATTTACCCATAAGGCTTTCCACCCCATCTCCCTGTGCTCTCCACTCAAGGGAACCATCCTGAATTATATGTTCATTTCCTTGCTTTTCTTTTTATATAAATTTTTACTTTATCGGTATGTAACTCTAAAGAGTAATTTTTAAAAATTATTCTTAGCTTTATAAAAAGGATATGCTATATGTAATACTTTAGGACTTTTTTTCCCACTTATATTACTTTGCTAAACTTCATCCATGTCATTGCATTTCACTATATATATTGACTGATATAAAATACTACAATGCGTAAATATACTATGCTTTATCATCCATGCTCCCCCTGATGGGCAAATGCAAGGGCACTGTTTCCAGGATTTAGCTTTTGTTCACACTGCTGCTATAAACATTACTGTAAATGACCCCTGTTGTACAAGAGTTTGTCTAGGGAACCAGTTTACACTCCTGCCACGGACCCATGTTGTCAGGTTGTTCTCCAGATGGTTGGATCAGTCTACCTTCTTTCAGCAACCTATGAGAATGCCAATTTTCCCAAACTCTTTCCAACCCTAGGGATCATTGAAAATGTTTGATCACTTGATAGGAAAACATAACTCCATAGCTGTTTAACTCTGTGGGAAGATACTGACTCCTCTAAAGGCTGAGTGAGAAGGGGTTTGGCTCAGAGAATTATTCCAGTCTGATAACTTCAGTGACATTTCCCCAGTGGCTCAGTTGCTTTCCCATGTCCTAAAAGAGGTGACACTGTTGGAAGGAGGGAGTGAGGGGGGCCAGGATGGGAAACAAGCCCAACTCACCACAGTGGAAGCTTGTCTCCTGGTCCCTGCCCCTGCTAGTGTCAGATCACTCCTTGATGAAGCAGGCATTATCTCCCCACCAACCCCCACTCGAAATAAGCCAGTATAATGCTACCC